AGCTTTTTAACTCGTTACGGTGGCCAATTTACAATTTCAATTTACTTGAATAAAGGGGGGCAATTTTCTAAAGAAATTGTAGCGCTGCGTCAGTGGGAGTACTTGATTTACTTGTGAGTAGACAAGCAAGGAAATAACAAAGAAACAAAGACTTGGGCACTTGTAGTGAGTCTCAACGATCAACTAAATTGGTTTTCTTTTCCATTTTTTAATGAAGTTGAGTGACTAACCTCAAAAACCACGTTTGTCCCATTTATGACTTTCAACGAGTATGTGATTGATCCGACATCTTTTTGAATACACTTCTTACCATTGATCTTTGACCTCACAACGTGAAATGCTGCAAGGAAAAAAACGAATTCATTCGAGAACAAAATTATCCACTTTCCCGCAACTGTCATCATCACTGGTCAAGCCATTCGCTCAGGAAGACAAATTTGCTTTTTTCAATCTACGATACTGCTATGTAGTAACAAAAGATCTGAATGTTTCTCTTAAGTTATTTTTTGAGAGATTTCAAACGTACTGCTAAATCCAAACGATTGAGCTGAATAAGGGTTGGTTGTTATGGAGACAAAACTTCAACCCCATATCGACACTCTTTCTATCGCAATTACTATGTTGCAGTCGAAAAACACAACTACCTTGAAATCCTTAAACAAAAAGATATCAAAAATCAAAGGCATTAATATTATGTTCAACTAGTGTCTTTATTGTCAATACTTATATTTACGTTTACTTAATACCCACTTGTGTTGTCGTTCGACTCGATTCTGCCATTCCAGTAAACCTTACACTGTTTCTTTCCGTTTACAACTTGACACATGTTCGTATAAATCTTCATGAGATTTCCTTCATTGCATGCCGTTCTTCTAAAATGCGAAGCAATGTTCCATTTCAGTGTAGCTTGTGCTGACGGCACTTTCTCGTTTAGCAGCACAACTACGAGTGCAATCTAGAAAGCAAGAAATTGAAGCCCCGTGTTATACAGTGGGTGAATAAGTAATTTGTATTAACTTTGTGTTGGAGGAACTTGATGATGTCACAGATGCGTTAATGTGAGACCAAACAGTTTCCACA